CTTCTATTTGGTGAAATTACCTGCTAAATTGCAAATGTGTTGTTTGAAATGATCCATTATCTAGGTGTTGTAATTAAGGTTAATTAGATAGCTAAGTCCAAAAAATTATTAGTTAAGAATTTGTGTAGGTCTGGAATAATTATTTCGATTTTAGGCTTATGCATGATGGGAGTTGGTGTGGAATTCTGATGCTGTTGCATATGGTTGTTGGGAGATTGGGCCCAACATTGATAAAGGGCCCAGAAAGCTCAAGGAAAGTCAAAAAATGAACACATGGTAATCATGACACATCCACGCAGCACGTGGACCAATAAGGCATGCCACATGGCACTACGGATCCATAAATACCCCAACTACTTCCATGCCTTTCTTTGTAGTACTTCTGTATTGAGAGCTTTTCTTTTAAGGATATTGAATATTACTAATTTGAATGTTGAAGTGGTTTTTTTTTAGGATATTTCTTTGGGATTTTCAAGTATTAAAGCAGTTCAAGACATCAATAGTGAATGAGTACATGAAGCTGCCCAAACAATGGTCAACTGGGTATTTGCATTAATGTTAAATTAGAGATTGGTTTACCGAATCTTTGATGATTTTGGCTGAAATTTGAGTTTGGTACTGGCTGTATGATTGAGTTTGGTAAAGGTCTTTCTATATGCTTCATTTTCTAATGCTAGCTAATTGGTTCTACCTTTCGATTGGCAGATTGAAACAGCTTGCAAAAATAATAGAGAAGGTTTGAGCCATTCTGTCCTGTAACTGGTGGTGTGTGATGTGATTGTTAATATTTGAGTTTGTATCAATCAGAGAGGAAGAATTATGTATGTGAGAAAACTAAAAAAGTTGAATGCATCACATCATGATAGCTGGATATTTGCTTCCTGTCTCATTTGTGAAAGAAATTCTCTCATAATTAATAATGATCTATGATCTGTTAAAGACAAAAGAATAAGTAGAAGGCTTGCTGACCTTGAGTGTGGGGAGAGCTTTGAGGAATGCGGAGCCAGAGACAGAGACTTGAAGGAGGAAACCAGAGCACCTAGCAGTCACCAACACAATCTTCAGGGAGATACCGAAACCAGCACATAACATCAACTATCTATCTGCGAGCTGTTTTGGCCGATCCCAATCAAGTGCAGCAAGATCTTGAGCCTGAGAAATGGGATTGGTATGAGTGAGATCATCTTGAATTGATGTTGAAAGTTTGAATTGTACTATGATATATTTCAAATTGGCTATTAATAGAACATGTACAGTACTATATATGTTCTAGTTATCAATCAATATATATATATATATATATATACCTGTATGCGTGATCTCTTGCTCTTGCTTCTGAAGATCAAAGGGAAACGGACGTGCATATGATGAGTGAATCCGACTTCTTAAAGAATAATTTATGTGATTGTCTGAATTTCAAGTTAAGAAAAAAAACAGATAAAAACAATTCCAATAACATGAATAGACTTTTGTGCTCTTTAGAAACTCTTTACGGTAGCACGTACCTGTTCAACAATTCCGCTAGGAATTTTCCAAATTCCTGTTCCTTGGAAACAACCAGTTTTTTCCTGAACTACAAGCACCTAACACCCACCCAAGAATTTTCCAGTTTCAGAACCAGCAATACAAAAGAAAAAGGTGAGTGTAAAAAGAATAAGGGAAATGATAGCAACACTCTCTTTAGGTGATTTTGAACACTAGTTCATGTAATTGGCCCACATAACATTTATTTCTCTATTATTTGTCCATTTAGTAGGCTATTTTGAATAAGAGAAGTTCTAGTGATCCAAGTGGTCACCTATACTTTGTTAAGGACCATCTCATCTTAGTAGAAGTGTGGGGTTCAAATCTACCCTCCTGTTGAAAAAGAAAAAAGAAAAAAGTAAGCTATATATTTTGAATTTTAAGTAAGTGTCCACCAATAACAGAAATTAAGCCTTTGATGGAGAGTGTGAAAGAGAGTGTGGCTAGCATTCCTAAAAGAATAATGGGTCTTAAGGGCAAGGGAAGAATACCTCTCTGTTCTCATTGAATACAATAGCACCGACACCAACCCGATGTGAAGCATTTGCAGGAAGGGTGTTTTCTGTCTTAGGAATCCAGTAAACAAGCATGAGGTAGATTAAAAGTGGATAACCATGGTGGTGTTAGTGTGGATATGCAGGAGCCTATGGACTCCAACACCTTTTTAACTGCCCTGAGGACGTCCATGTTGGAGTGGAAGGGACAGATAATTAACAAAGTTAAGCTAGGATAGTGTGCTATTACTTATTATTGCCTGGTTAAGCTCAGCATATATGGTGGTACACAAATCCCTTCTAAAATCAATGTAAAATGTGTATCAAATGGAACTAAACACAAAAAAAAGGAGCACATGTGAGAGTTAGATATGAGAAACTGCCATAACAAAAATCACTCTTAATAAATCATGAAAATATATATTTTGTATTAAAAAAAAAAAGTGGGGATTTTCTAACCCTCAATACAGGACATATCCATCATGGTAGATTGAACAAAAGAGAGGAAATCTGCATAGGAGTTGTGTTAACAGTCATAGACAGTAAACAGAGGATTAAAGAGGAGAAAGTGTTTTTACCCTGACTGCAGTTTCACAAGATTTGCAAGTCCAATAGGCAATCTAATCCAAACTCCCCTTTTTTTCCCACACAAATAATTACAACTAGTATTATCATGTCAAAAGCAGATGGCCAGCCGCCAAGACATAAATGTGAAAGCCCTAAACCATCATAAATGTGAAATTTCAAAATTATGGAGCATACGATCTCTTCAATTTTAGTCATATAATTCTTTATTTTATAATTCTGACTGTACTAAACTTTAAAATTTAGAATTTTAAATGAAACCGAAAAAAAAAAAAAGCCAACATCAGACGCCAAAATTATGGAGCATATATATGTCTCTTCAATTTTAATCATAAAGTTTTTTATTTTGTAATTTTTGTTGTACCAAATCGTAAAATTTAAAATTTTAAATGAAAGAAAAACCTTAACATCGAAGATCTTAACTAATCTAAAAATAAAATTATTTTACAATGTGATACAATTTGGATTGATAAATAATTTTTTACTAACCATGTATGCTGACATCTGTTTAAGTTTTAAAAAAACACAGTAAGAACAAATACACCGTTGAGTCAATACGGAATACTTAAGCAGGCAATAATATTATAATAATTAATTAGTCATAAGCACACATCCTAAGCTTAAATTTGTTACCTGTCGCTCCCACTTTTCAACATGGACGTCCTCAGAGCTGTCAAAATGGTTTTTGTAGTCCATATATATGCTCCTGCACATCCACAATAACACCACTGTGGTTGTCACTGGTGGCAGGAGGAAGCACTTCACCGTGCAAAATTCCATTTGTGCACACCTCCGATGAACTCCCGTACCGTCAACATCTATGCAAATACAAGCTAAGACCATTTCCTAAGATAAAATCTCCTTTACATACCATAACCAACACCAAAAACAAAAACACTCAAAGACCTATATATTCATCTCAATCAAAAGAGAAATTAACAGTAAATGAAGTAATTGACTGCGAAGGATGAAGGAAGTAAAACATGGGGATGGAAGAGGAAAAAGAAACTCGAGAAAAGAAAAGAAAAAATCAGAGCATTAATCCATTGAAAATTGCAGTGGGAGAGAAATCAAGATTCGAATTCTATCGTTTTCTACGATTCAAACAAAGTTGGAATATATATTAAAAAGAGGTGAGTGGCTGAGTGCTGCTATTTTGTATCCAAATTATTGATGCTCGGTGGGAGTTGTTTAATAAGACTAAGAGCAGTTAATCCAAAAAAACAAAAAGGACTAAGTGCAAGAAGCTGCCAATGCCATGTTATTTCTGCTTAAGCAAAACC